GAGAGAGAGAGAGAGAGAGAGAGAGAGAGAGAGAGAGAGAGCTCAAGGCGAGACGCGAGCAGGATCGGAATGTCCGTCTCGATGACGATTGCCATCGAGAGGACTGGCATGCACGTTCCTCTCCTTCTTCTGTTTGTCTCCACAGCCAACGTTCATAAACATTAGTTAAGCTTAATGAAACTTCGAGCAAGTCTCCCGTCCCGCTTACGACTCAGAAGACACCAGGGAGAGCAGCTGGGCTGCACTCGGACTCACTATAACTGATATTTACGGTTACGATTCTGTTTTCGTTTCCGCACTTTCTCTCCTGCGCTTCCGGCTCGAGAGAGCAATCCGGCTGGGTGGGTTTCGACGTGTGATTGGCGGCGATCGTCGGGCCCGGCCCGAGGGTGGAAAATGATCAGAGGCCGAGTGGGAACTTCATTTCCGCGGTGTAATCTCGAGCCGCGGATGATATCCCGCGTCGATTCGATCTGCACCGCGGCCCACCAGCGAGAGGGGATCCAGATTTCGAGACGCGAGGGGACGTGCCCTGGGAACTTTTCAATTTGTCCGATATCCGTGTGCCGCCGATTAATCGGCGCGATCGAATCTCCCGGCTCTCTCGCGTTCACTCGTCCGCGACTCGATCCTTTCTCGGACACGTCAGGGGTGGCCCCGTCTCCAGGGGGTGGCGATACGCCAGCGGAGAAAGCAGGATAATCGCGGCGGCAAATACCAAGCTGGAGGGACGTTCGCGAGCGTGTTTGTTCTGCAGCCAGCCGTCCTAAGCCGCAAATAACGAGAAAGATCGGCCCAGAGTAAGGACGACGGGGATTCCGTTATATCCTTTTGCGATATCGCTCTTTCCGCTACTCTCTCGCGCGCTCTCTCTCTCTCTCTCTCTCTTTTCTTCTTTTCATTTCTCCTTTTTCCTCTCTCCATTTCCACCGTGTCTTTTTCTTTCTGTCCCTCGTTCTGTTCCTCCTCTTCTCCTTTTATACTATTTCGCGATACAAACCGTATCGGCATACATTCGCTTTTATCGCCGCAAGAACGGCCTGGATGCGTTCGACGAGGCAGAAAAAAGAGGGAGAGAAAAAGGGGAAGAGAGAGAGAGAAACAGAGAGAGCACGGATATCCAAACTAGCATGGCAATCCGCCATCGGCGGCCGAGCCGAAGATACGAAATTGCAATCCGCGGCCACTGCACACGTTCGTTTGCCCGCGAGCAACAAGTTATACACCATAACCAGGCGTACAAAGAGAACGGCAACGAACGGTGGACGATACACCCGGGCCGATGGATCGTCTTTTTCGCCCGCGTACAAAGGCCCGGGTTTCGTTGGCTGGTCGGTTAACGCCGAGCGCAGTTTAATCGATCCTCCTTCCGTCGTCCGCCTGTGGATCGCGGCCGCTTTCCGGCGGCTACGCGCGAGAGTAGTAATTTCGAGGAAACTGCGGACGGAAATTGCGATATCCTTCGTCCCCGCGCGTTAATCCACCCCGCACCCATCCTTCCAATTTGCAGCGTGCGCGAATTCACGCGTCCAGGCGCGTTTAGATGTAGCGCAGGTTACTCGGCAGGTAGACAGATGGATAGATAGATAGATATAGATAAGTAGATTTGTTAGATAGACAGATAGGTAAGTAGGTAGATCAAGCAAACCTGGCTCGGCCGACGAACGCCTCTCGATCCCCCTCTGTAGATTACAGTTCAATCTACGGTATATGGACAGCACGAGGAGAGAATTGACTTAACCGTCGTCGGGCCTGAGCGACGACGCCGGTGCCACCGACCCTTCTCGGTCAATCACAGTTTGCGTTAATCGACATCGGCGGAGGCAGCCCGTAGCAGATTTCGCCGCGGGTGTCTGTCCGTCCTGCACCGTCCGTATCCACTGAGCCCGCACCTACGCTCCGCGCGTGTCATCCACTCGACGTAACGTAGCGAGGCGAAACACCGCGATACTTGGTGAACTGTCGCAGCGAACTGTCCGACGAGACGTCGTGGATTCGCGATAACCTGTCTCTTTGCGCTCTCTTTTCCGATTGTTCGCGGAGGCGCGCATTCGGCGATGGAGAGCAGATCGCGCACGGCGAAGGGATGGAAGAAGCGGCCGGCCCGCGAAGAAGTTGGTCGCCTCGATCGCGATCAATGACGCGCGTCCTGCCGCGTACGCGCACGCATCCACGCACGACGATGTCGATCGAAGAGCGGCACGAGTGCGTCCCTTGAGACGAAGATCCACGAGGATTTCGGCGGATCCTGAGCGGGAAGGGCAGCCGCGGGATCTGTCGAGATGTGGCGCACACTCAGTCTCTCTCCGCGAGGCGCGCGAGGAAGTTGACGCGATCAAGATCGAGATCGAGATCGCGCGCGCAGACCGTCGTCGCGAACGTGGCTCGCGCCGACACCTCCGCGGCTCTCGCCTCTCGTACGCGTTACCGCCGATGTACCACCGGTGCGGCGGAGAGAGGGCGATCCGGTGGTCCGGAGTACCGTGCCAGTACTGGTACTGTAGAGTTTGTTATCGAGTAGCGACACCGCCAGAAAGAGAGCGAGAGGGAGAGAGAGAGAGCGAGAGCGAGAGTCTCGGGGTGGTGGCAGCTCTGCTTGGCTGACAAGTAGATAGGTACCGTATCACGCAGGCGCCGATTCTCCTCCTCCCCGCCACGGCCACCCCGCTCGTTCATCCCTCTTCCGCCGATCCTGCTTGCCCTCCTACCCCCGTGGGCCTCCCTCTCGCCCTCCCTCCCGCACGCTCTCACACGTCGCTCGCGAACCCTCTACCCCCGGTCCCCGACCCTCACACCCCCTGCGGCTGGTTTTCCCTGCATCTCCTCGCCTCTCGATACCCTCCGGCGAGCGCGGCCCTTCGACTTTTCCTCGCTTTTCCATCTTCTTCTGATCGCGCGAGCGTCCTCGGAGATTCGATTTGCCACCCTCTCGCGCGCACGAGAAATCACTGATCTCCAACGACGACGACGACAGCGACAGCGACGGCGGCAACGGCGGAGACGACTATGCGACTCGATTTGCGAACTGTTTCTTTCTGATGACGTTACGTAGTGCATCGTCGCGCTTTAAATAATGATCGCGCTTTCTTTCTTTCTTTCTCTCTCTCTCTCTTTCTCTTGAGAAAGGAGAGCGGGGCGCGCTTCGTACCGAAAGCAGCTTACGAGAGCAATCGTGAGCGCACGCGATTAACCTCTGACGCGATTTTGTTGCTTCGACGTCACTCTATCCTTTCCTCGGCTTTATCGAACGTCGAAGGAAGATTCGTGTGCGACATTCTTCTTTTTTTTTAGGCGTGAGGAAAACTACTTGCAGGCTATGTGCAAAGAGGGACTTGTATGATGGGAGTGAAATTCAGTAATTAAGGTAGTTGTATCATGAGAGGAGTTTCGTGAAAATTTCATGAAACTTGCACTGTAGCGAAATATTATCTAACGGCTCTTGCGTAATAAGATCTACTACTCTACAACTGAAGTATCTGTAACTAAAGTTAGCCCTTTTTATACCTATTCCTTGAAGCCAGCGTGCTTATTCTGTTTTTGATATCGTCCAAACTGTGAAATTTTGATGAGAAACTACTGATATTGGAAGTTAATACACAAGCATTATTCGAAAATTTCAGAGTTATTGAGCTTTTTGTTTCCAAAGTACACAACGGTGGAAAGTTCATAATTGATGGTAATATTCTTAGTGCATATATACATATATTGAAATATTTATATTTTTCCTTTTATTGTCTGTATATACATTTCTATTAGATAAACTATACATTAATTACTCATTACAAAAGTAAGAAATAATAATTTTTTCCATACCTGTAATTTTGTGTATATATATCTCAATTTCGTTTCAAGTTAACATTGATAGATATTGAAATAAATGTATAGAAACGTAATTCTATTTGTGTGCGATAAAAATAATAAATTTATGAGTAGTTTCTTTTATGCGCCACTGGAAATACGGTATTTTATGATACAACTACCTTAAATTTGATATTCATGGCATAGTCATTACCGTTAAATTGATAAAATAATCGTTAGATATGTATTTGGATTGCATTGACCGAGTGAAATGGAAACAATTTGATGTTTCCTGTTATTTTCGTGAATTCTTTGCAAATTTAGTCTCGCCTCGAAAATTAAGAACGTCTAGCTCGCAAAAACGCAATAACACCGTGCTTTCTTTTTCTCTCTCCCTCCCTTTCTCTTTCACTTGTCAGTCGTACATTTCGACCTAATATTGCTTTTATGTTGATTCGGACTGCAATGCTGCGAACGCTATTACGATATAACATATATCCAGTTGATGAGCGTCGCGCGCTCTCTCGTAATATCGCTGGCTCGCCGTAAATTACAACGTTCTTATCTGCTCCTGACCGATGCTAAAAGATTCCCTTAACGCACGTTAGGACGGAGATTTTGCGCTCACGGTCGTGCAGGTTTTTTCAGGCGGAGAGACAATAACCGGGTAAAGTATATAACGAAGCTACGACGTTAACTTTCCTCGCAACTTCTCACGCCTGTCCTCTCTCTCTCTCTCCCTCTTCCCCTCTCACTCTCTTTAACGGGAAAAAGCGTTTCCGCCGACGCCTATCAGCGTCGCGATAACAAGCGACTTGCACAGCGAGGAGCCGAAATATACGGTATCGAGCAATCAGGGATTTATGCAGAATTAATTTGCGCGCTGAAAGCGCGCTAACGCATACTCACACGCATACATACGTATGTATGCATGACGTATGTAGATTTTTCAGTTGCGAAAATTTCGCGTTAAAATCATTAACGTTACAGCACCGAAAGCGCTTTTTTAGATACACGGCGGTGAATAAGCGAATTCGGATAAAAAATATATCCCGAAAGTCATGGAGCGCGTACGTGTATCCCGCTTCCTCGCTCGCTCTCATGGAATCGCACACGCCTGCTGGACGTATGTAGAGCCGCGTCTCCCTTCTCAAAAACGCCTTTTGCCGTATTCACTGTCCCGAAAACCAACAGAGGCTATTTTGCTTTCTCTTCCGGCCAAAAGGCCGCTTTGAAGCTACGGCTTCTTAGAATCCCGCGCGTTTCATCACCTTTTTCGCCGGTATTTCATCCTCACGGAGAGGCCTCGCGGCTGATTCCTTTGCTTTCAAGCGCATAAAGTGACCGGGGCAGAGGAGAGGAGAGGATGGCGAGCGTGGTTGGCGGTGTAGTCACGCGTGCAGGGCCCCGCAATTTTCCTTCGACATTTCAAGGATCATCGCGTTCTACCCGACGTCCGCGCGCATTTCGATTCGCCGTTGCTCCTACACCGCGAATCGTTTTCCTCGGCTTCGTGGAATAACGACGGGATTAAAAATCCTTCTCCTTCTCTTCCTCCTAGGAAGGAGGAAAGAAAGAGAGAGAAGGGGGAGAGAGGAGGGAGGGCAGAATGAACAGGGGGGAGTCGGATGGAAGCAACTAGGGAACAAAGTCGCAATCTCGACGTGCAGAGTAGAAGGCTTTTATCGGGGCGGCACGTCGGTTGCGGGCGCAAACGGCGTATTTTCGAGTGCGCTCCAGTCCGCTTCTCGGCTGTGGCAAGCTTCGAGAGAAAGAGAGGGGCAGGCAGTGGTAGAGGGAGAGAGGGACAGAGAGTAATTTCATTGAATTCGGCAGCCGATTCGATACGCCGATACTAGCGCCGAGCCGCGACGTATTATCGGTATATACCACCCTAGCGAGCTCGAAATTCTCCCTTGTTTAAAGCACAACCGAGCATTGGTCTATGGCGGTCCGCTCGTCGAGGCGCGCGCACAGATTTCTGTGTATCACTAGACTGCCAACTCCTTATGTATAAGGTGGTTCAATTCTTGTGTGCAGATAACACGATTTAGTCGGACGGAGGACAAAACTGAAATCACAACCAAATAATATATCATTCGATTGAAAGTTTTTCTTTAATAATAGCGTTTTTTCCTTTGAACTGCATAGTAGTCTAATGAAAGAAAATAATATTTGTTAGGAAATTGTGTTGCTTGATGTGATATTATGTTATTTGAGACAAGTACAAATAGGAACTCTGAATTCGAAGAAACCCTTTTCACTGTGCACGTGTCTGAAATGAAGTTAGGTTTTCATCTCTCTCTTCATAGCGCTGTTGCACATAAATGTAGTACAATTTATTGGCATTATTATATATATTTTTTTTTATTTGTATATGATTTAATATATTTCTCTCGACTGTCATGATGTGTATGAGTTAGACTATATGACATGTTGATATGCGCAGAATTGGGTTCTTTGGCATATTTCGTGAATTTTTGCACATTTTGCATTAAAACATTTTTGTATAAGCGAAATTTGGGAAGTTAGTAGTCTGGTAGCATACAGAGAAGTCCTTGGACGCCCTCGTCGGCTGCGCCGCTGCCGAGGGGCGATCGGTCGACCGGGTATCGATAGAGCCCTAAGGGAGAGCCCATAGGGGTGGCAAGAGCAGGAAATTCAACGAGCCCGCGCCGCTGCCTGGCTCTTAGCGTTCGCACCCCCTCTTTTCGCGCCGTTGAACCGACCACTTCGCTCGCCAGTCCGTCCACCGACCAACCGAAGGAACGAACGAACGACTACTACCTTTTACTCCTGTCTCTTCTTGATATTAATTATAAATCTAATATTTAACCACATGGAATCCTAAACTGGGTAACATTTGCCTAGACCAATCTTTCAAACGTTACACCGTCCTTTAAAAACATGTTCGTTTTTTTTTTATTGCAACTTTTTTTCAACTTTATCGCGACTCGCAAAAACATTAATAGATTCATATTTCTCGATGTTTTTCACTGCGATAAAAAATAAACGATTGAATTTCGATCACTTTTCCGAGAGTTATGAGTAAATGGAAAATGCTCTGGGTAAAATTTATCCATGTTTAAGGTTCCACAGAAATCGCATGAAATTTTCATTTCATTGTATGACAGATTGACTCGCTCTGTAGGTAAGAATGTGGCCAAAGAATTTCGTGGCATCTAACTCTTGTTTAGAAATGTTCATAGGTTTACATCAGGATTCGAAAGATGAAATGGAAATCTTCTTTTAATTAGTTTCTAAAAGGCTACACGTTCTTCATATCCATAGATTGCTTATTGTCCGCACAGACAATATCTTACAGCTCGCGTTGTCTACTATGTAGACGTAGAATATCATAATTTCTCTGTAAACGACAAAGCCCGGTGGTCTCCTCTGCTGCTTTTTCTAACGCGCCCGTCGGAGCCGACATCTCGTGGAGCGAGCTTTTAGAGAATTAACGTCCCGACTCGTTACGATCGCCGTTTTACGCGTTCTCGTCCGCGATTGTCGTTTTCTCGACGACAACGAAGAAAATGATGCGAAGCGACGACGGACGCTTTTTCGTTGGCAAAACCCGCTTCAACAACACCAGCGGGAGGCGAATCTGCTAATTTCCTGGGGCGGGACTTGCGACGCGTCGCGAAGATCCGCAAGAAACGCGCGGCTGTAGCG